ATATTTCACAAGGTAACATTTTTTTTAATAACCGTGAACTGATAATGTCTTTAATTGTTTACGATTAAAAGGTTTATAATTCGTAGTCGATGAATGCAGGTAGCTAAGGGCCGTGCTTTGCGGCATTCTTTGTAAAAGGCCTTAAGATAAGGAAGGGATTCTCAGATCACCATGTTGGATAGGTAGAGCTCGGAAGATTGGTAATATTGCTGCTCATCAACAATATTTGAGGTGAATATATTACTATGTATTGGTCGCTAAAAAGTGGTTCTTTAATTAGCAATTTACACACAAAGAAGTTCTCATATCCCCATTATATGCCGTAAACCCATGAAAATAACGAAAATGAAATAAGTCATAAGTGTCTTCCTTCCCTTCGCAAGGATGTGTAAATCATACCTTTGGTCAAAAAAGCAAATCCTTCAAGTTTTTCCGAATATCATCCTATTTCGATTCTTTCTTTCCTTTCCAAAACCTTTGAACGTCTTGTTCAACAACAATTTAATTCCTTTTGGTCAAGAAATAACATCCTCAATTTTCTCCAATCTGGCTTTAGATCTGGTCATAATACGACTACGACGTTATAAAAAATCACGGACGACATACGCCACGGTAAAGATAATCATCAAGCCAAAGTATTGGTGTTGCTGGATTTCAGCAATGCCATCAATACTCTTGATCATGATATCCTGTTAGGGATACTATGTTCTCCAACTACGATTTCCTGGTTTCATTGTTATTTCAAATAATATAGGTGCCGGCAACGGATTCGTGTCCAAGATAGGCTTTCTTCTTGGACTGATACCGCAGCTGGCATTCCGGAATGTGGCGTCCTTTTCATTCACAATATTTATTAATACGATAACATCCTAAATATCTTCTCTCTACCACTTACATGCAGATGGCAGATGATCTCCAAATATATTTACAATATATATCCCATTAAAGATTTTCTTGAAGCAGTTGAATGTATCAACAAGGATAAGGATCTAGCATATATTCTCGACTGGAGTTAATCATATGGGTAAAATGAACCCTTTAATATCCCAAGCCATTTTAATGGGAGTTCAAAAATGATTTTCTAAATAAAAAAATGTCAAATACAACCCGATATATTTATAACTTTGCAGCATATGCTTCACTTCCTCCGGCATATGCTGCAAACATTTCCAAAAGAAGGTTTTAAATTGCTTAGAGCCCTGTCATAATTTTTCCTTACGGTCCAAGGAAAATCTTTCCCTGCAATTTCCTGTGATTTTCTCTACATTTTATGATAAAGCATTCTCTGTTCTTGGAGTTGTGGAACTCCTTACCGCAGTCAATTAAAAATGCTCATCCTTAGAACATTATTTATTTTGTTTCTCTAACCTCTCTCTTCATCCTCATTTATGATGACTGATCTACCTAAAGTATGTTGTCTCTTTAGCGCATAAGTTGGTATCCTTTCTTATGTTTTAGATATGGCTGTGTAGCAATAATTATTTTTGTTATATTTATCTTTCCGTGGTGTAAAATAAAGAGTATGATAAATTAACGTCATACCTAGTGTTATTTTGATTTTACATGGTTTTTTTGCTATAACCGGCCAAATTTGCAAAGAAGGTTCAGAATAAATGGTATAGGCAAATGGTGAAGTAAGATTAATTTAAAAAAAATTCAAACTATCTATTTAAGCTTGGATGTTTCTTAATTTCAATATTTTTAATTTAAAGAATTTATGGTCTATCAAATCTAATGTAATGGAAGGGGCCGTCTAGGATATGATTACAAACTGCAGATTTCCCGGACTTCCTTTTGTGAGGCTGGGTACTTACCGTGAGTACTGGGTACCCACCTGCTTGGGGTCCTGTAATTAATAAAATTAAAACTAAGCCCAAGCATACCACTGCAAGACTTCAAGACACAGTAAGTTCAATCTGCGTAGATCGGACCAAAACTAATAATTATAAAAGCTGAAGGTACTCCGGGTTTACTCTGATATGAGGACGTCAATCACCTCAGTTCCCCGTGACCATGGGTACTGGAAAGCATCCGCAACGTCGGGAATTAAAAATAAGTATAATTAAACGTGATAAAATCCGTAAAAGTAGTTTTATTTAATGTGTATTTTTCGCGTAAATATAAGAAATATTTATTTATATGAACTTAAGTTTCAAATTTTGTCTACTCTTTGAAAAATAACCCTGTACAGCCTCTCAGCAACACAATCTTCCTTACCTACACTAGACGAATACCCCAATAGGCATAGTAACGACAGTGAGTGTTAGAATTACTTAGGATACTTTATACTGCTGGAACATGTGGGAGACTAACATTCTACCTTCATTTGTTCGTTTTCCTTTTATTTTTTAACCTCATTCCCAACAGTATATAATTACAGTTTTATTTTACTTCAATGAAATTCTTATAATATGGCGAAATCTCGATGTTGTTTAGGCCTTCATAAAATACCCAGACTGGCAGCGGGAAACAGCGGTCAAAGTCCAAGATGTCTGGTAATGCCATCATCATTCCGCGTGACAAGCGTGACGATTAAGGCAAACCGAAGAAATAGGTAACAGGGTGGTTCCTGCTACCTTTTTTTTTGCTACACGGGGAAATGTCTAAGCATACCCGCCTCGCGGGGGCATGGACGGGTTATGTCGGACTCGCACGAACTAAACCCCCATGGTGTTCCACCTTCGTTGCATATTAGCAGGGCCGCGCGAACGCTTTCGCACACATCCGTGGGACCACCAGCGTCGGCCGCCCCATGGCGGTTTCTCCTCGGGAGAGAACTACTCCTCCCCGATCTCCTTCTCAGGTAACGCGCACTAGAACCCATGACGCGCCTTCCTCCACGGCCTCAAACTACACCTGTGCAAAGGACGCCCCCGTGTCCGATGCGCGAAGGTCATGAGCCCAGGAAAAACGAGCACTCAGAAGCACTAGCCTTCTTGACCCCAGCGGCGGATCTGGTCAATGGTTCCACCGCCAACAATTCGGCTGCAGAGGATAGTGAGAGCGACGCCTCGCAATACCAACACTCCTCTTCCTCCACGACTCCACCTTATCTGCAGCGGTAGGGGCAGAGGGCATACCTCTCGATGCAGCCAACCAACACACATCCGAAGTGGGCTCGCCAAGCCCACTCGGAGTGGCCACCTCGGGTAGGCCCTTCACCTCGGGCCAGCCATGTGGGTTTCTCTTTGTTCACCGCGAGTGGCCAAGGCTTGGCTTGGAGGGGAGGGGGGGGGGGTTTACTACCTACTATCTACATGATCAAAAGGTCTCTTGTTCTTTTAAATCACTATAAAAGACACAGCTTTATTTAACTTCCTTCTACACAACAGAAGTTTACTGTATCGGATAAAGTTTTACAATTTGAATAAATAACGACACAGCCCAACGGATTAGTATGCTGAAGTGGCAATGGGCTGACTATATAGCTCGAAGACCCGACAACCGATGGGGAAAAACGGTTCTCGAGTGGCATCCTCGCACCGGTAGGCGAAGTGTTGGGCGGCCCCTAACTAGATGGAGTGACGACCTAGTAAGACATGCGGGAAGTCAATGGATGCAGGTAACTCATGACCGTGATTTGCAGCATTTTTTGGGGGAGGCCTATGTTCAGCAGTGGTCTTGTGAAGGACTTACCAGCTAAGAAATAAAAATAAACCATTAACTCATAGCGCATGTAACACAAAGTCTTCTAATAAACAAATGCACATTAAAAAAAATTAAATTCATTATGGTCAAAAAAAAAAACAAAAGAAATATTTAAGAAAAAATAAGAAAATAGATCAAGAGAAAATTTTAAAACCTCTTAGGATAACATAATACAAAATGCATAATAAGCTAGACTGAGTTCATAACAGGAGATAAATATTAAAGTGCTTATATTTCGCAATCAGTACAACAACCGTGTAATACTAACGCCTCCAGCAAACTATTACTCCATGTCTACTAAAACTGTGACAGGGTGCATTAGGGCCCCATTTTAAGTCGTTATATTATTGAAAAGTCATTAAAGAATGTTGTCGGACAACCGCAATAAGTTCCACTCAATCCGACTACCGAGTGCCTCCGATGACTACCCCGCCCTACTGCTAATTGCCGCCTTCTTGTTTACTCACTCTTTGCTCGCTCCCATTAAAATATCCGTAAAATTAATTTATGTTAAACCATTTGATTATAAACCTTAATGAATAAATGTCTCATATACTGAACTTTCACTTTTTATAAAACTTGACAATGTAAATTTAATGTTTCATGGTACATTTTTCCAATGCCAATTTACATTGAAAGCACTATTATCATAAATGTTATATTCATGGTTCTTACGTTAAAACAGAAAACTTCTTCGCGCCTTTCGGAATTAAATATTTACAAAACTATATATATAAATGAAATATAATTAAAATATATGTTACAAACGGGAAAATGAATTGAAATTTCGAGTGTTAACAACGTTTACATCCGTATCCCATTTAATACACATTTAATATATTTTTTATATATACTCGTATAACAACATTGACAAACGAGCACACAGTCCATCTGATGGTAAATGGATGATGTGATGCATAGATATATCATCCTCGATTAAGAATTAAAATGCAGATGCAATATCATCCCTCAAGACTAAGATGGTATGCCTTGTTTCCATTAAAAAGGGACTCCGGATCTCTGCACTCACCATATGAAACACAGCAGCATAAAGCTGCTATTTTACGCTGATATTTTGTAAGAGCGTGGTCCCCCGGTCAAGCCAACCCATTCGTGCTACGACGTAATATAGCTGCAAAATAGCTTTACCACGTATAAAAAGTTTGTCGCGAAATGGAAGAAGAATATAACGGCAATTGCTCTCAAATTTGAATACTGTAATTATGATAATATGTAAAATTTTAAATAAATGACAAGAATATATTTGCTAAAAATATGTACTAACATATTAGTTATAAAGCAAACTAAAATTTTTCATTAAATGATACTTAAAGCATTTGGTATTAAGTAATTCAAAATAATTTACCTTTGATCGCAGCTTCGATGATTTCAACGTTTCTTAAAGTAAGCAACACAGGTTCAACCACTAGGCTTAATCGAACAGTTTCTTCGTCGAGCTTTTTCTCGGTAAGGAAAATGGCATAAGTCCGAACGCGTAAAAGCGGACACTTCCTCCGCAACGTGCTTTGCACCAACACAGTGGCGTCAGTGAAATAGATCGACCTCGCTTTCCCGAAACTTATTATAACACCTAGATCGTTTATGTCGCCCTTTAAAACACGACGAATGTTCACTTTATAAATTTTCACATTATCATCCTTCGATTTGACACCGAAGACTTTACCAATGAATATGTATTTGGACTGTAGAGTCACACGTTTTAGTAAAGCCCTATCGTAAGTGCCATTTATATTGCAAATAGATCTTCGCTGCCGAAACACCCCCTGCAAGTTCGTGTTAACAACATTAAGGTAAAGCATTAAAAAAATATACATCAGTGAAGGCCGCATCGCGAATGTAATTTGTCAAGCCACACAAACACCTAAGTCCGTGTACTTTGACGTACTGAAGTGGGCCACACCAGTTAATTGTATTCTGAACACTGCAATATCACGGATAGTAAGGGATATAATTGAGACTAACAAAAGCACAATAGTTCGTTAGAGATAGGAGCGTGCGCACGGGCGCAAGCCGCGCCGGAGGCTGTCGTTGCTTACCGCCTTGCACCCACTCACTCCAGATCGTTCACCTACCCCACATATTTCCATACAGATTGGACTCGCGTAAATAACACCTTGTAACAGGACACCAGGTGATTGAATGCGACGTCTATCGGTGATATTATCTTGAATTGTCACACTTGAATCTGTGTAATGTATTCTTTTTTCAACGTCTCTATAGAGAACTAGTGTTATTCACATGCTCATGATCTCAAAATAACTAAAAAAAATATTTTGAATCAATAAAAATGCCATTACAATTGTTTGTTTGTAAGAGCCTCCGGATTTAATAAAATATTTATTAAGAAACAAACAAGGAAGGTTAATAATTTTGAAACCAAATGTAGTATAATTGTATTACTTACGCTACGGTATTGTAACGGAACAAAAGAGATTCCTTTGACGTCAGTAGAAGGAGAAATTATTAATTCAATTTATCATTTATAATGACCTCTCAGTGAAGGATCCTTTTACATACCGAAGTGATTAAAGTTAACTGATAAAATAAGTTTTTGCGTGTAAATGATGCGGTAGAGTGGCGCGGCGGATTATTAACGTAACGTAAGAGATGACATCAAAAATCAATTTGTTTCTTGCCTTACCGACGCGGCTTGTCCGAGTTTCTTGCTGCAAAATAAATATCTGTCAGATAATGTTATATGTAGCACTTGATGCGATTTGTATGATATTCTGTGAGAACTGTTATAACATCAATTTATGTAGCAAAATCTAGGGTACGGAATATTATATTTTGTAAGAATTATATTATAGATTTATTCAAATGGAGGAATACACAACAATTTTGAAAGTCTCTGGACGATATTAACGATACTGACTGAAACGAAATTATAACTCAGTTTAATATTTACTGACGGCCCATATTTTACACGACGAGGGGATTACGTGCGAAACATAAACGTAAACTACGTTATCCAAATTTAATGTTCGCTATTCGGTACTCGATTATTTCTGATTTTTAAAAAGATTCATTTCAAAAATTGTAACAGCTTACGTATATTAATGCTGACAACTTTTCCTGATATAGGAAAGCGTTTTTTTTTTAATAACGTCATAATAACAGCCTATATTTTTTTTAATAACGTCATAACAGCCTATATCTGAGCCGTGGTAGCTCAGATGGTTAGCGCTCGCTGTAAGCTTCACAGTAATCGAGCAACCCGGGTTCGATCCCCGCCGACACCAATGAAATTGTTAATTGCAATTTTAAGTGTTGATTTACCACGTGCTCGGCGGTGAAGGAAAACATCGTGAGGAAACCTGCATGTCTGAGAAATAAGAAAAAAAATTTTTCGAAGACATGTGAAGTTCGCCAACACGCATTGGGGCAGCGCGGCGGACATTTCCTTGCCCTAAAACCCTCTCAGAAATGAGAGGAGGCCTGTGCCCAGCAGTGGGACGTAAATAGGCTGCAACTTTACTAACTAACTTTACTAGCCTATATCTTGTGTCTATATTTTGATCATCGTCATAAAATGATCGTCACAGAATTCATAACTAAGGTAGAACTTTCTAAAACACATCACAGCATATAAATTAAATTACGTTATGCATTCCAAATGTGCATTCGAAACAAGTTTATTCGACCATTCCTAAGCCCATCCCAGGGATAATTTCCGACATGTTTGCAGCGACACTTTCGCAACTGCCACCGACTGCGGCAGCGTGATATATGAGCGCACCTACGTTTACATTTTGGAATATCCTGGAATAATCCTCTACGCTCGCGAATAATAACCCTTGAATATACATAAAAGGCGGCAGTAGTACAGCGAGCTGTAATTCCGCGGTGGAAACGTCGTAAATAATTGTCGTGGCTTTCGCGCTAATTCCTCGCCAAGAGCGAAATCTATGAGATCGCTTGTATTGCTTGTATTGCGGTGGTATGAATGATTGCTTGCGATACTGCTGCCTGTTGCATTGTATTAAACTCATTTTAAAACTTCACTCGTTCAATAATAAAAAGGGCGAAGTGAAATAATAGATGGATCATATGATTGCTGTTATAAAATTCGAATTGTGTGATAAGTGAAGGTCATACGAGTATCATAGCTACTAATATCGCTAAAATTCTCTCAATAAATTGCTATAATATATCATTAATTAATATGTATTATTTTAGCATGGCAAAGATAACTAGTCCAACGACGGTAGTAAGTGTTTTTCCAAATCGATCATAACCTAAAATTATCTATTTCATATATTCCCATAATGAAATTTTGCATATACATAAAACGAACACATAGTCAAAAATTGGTGGCCAATACTGCAACAGAAACATACATAAGGATCTGGGGGCACGGCAGTGCCCCCGCCAAGTCGAGTAAAAAAGCGGCACGGCCGTACCATCCTTTTCTCGAAGCAGTTCAGGCCATTTTCGACCCCTATAACTTCGTTGTGGATAAAACTAGAAGCCTGAATTTTCAGTAACCAATCATTCATTGTATAGATACGGTATATTTTAAATTATATTGAATTTGAACTAGTAGTTTAAGAATTATAACTTGTCAAAGTTTCTTAATTTTGTCACTCACTGACTGACCGATCATCAAAACTCTAAGGCACTTTTAGCAGACGTAGAAGCTTCAAATTTAGAATACAATAAGTGTTTAGTGTATAAATTAAGGAGAAACTAAACTATTTCGGTCCAGTTTTCTAGATACACCAACTGCATAAATAACTTTTTAATCCTATATAAATTTATAGGATTACAAAGTTACATTTGCAGTGAATCATCATAAATCATCAGTGTACCTGTATATGTATAATATAATGAAAATTATTTCATTTACCTATCTACATACATTAAGATGTAGATAGGTACCTGAATATAATTATGTTCAAATGTAAATTGTAAAATGGTCAGCGGAATGAAAAAGCAAGAATGGGACATGTCTTATGAAGTTGTATCAAAATCCCGCAAGTATTAAGTAGACTAAATTCCCCGAAAATCCGTAGTTGGTATTCAAGAAGAGATGGTACTGGAAAGGAAAAAGTAGGACTATCTACAAAAAGATATGAGATGCCATCAAAAACATAACTTGTAAAAAAATCCAAGTCTCGTAACTCAGTTCTTCTACCGTAAAAAGTTGTGAGATCCACGTAATACCAAGTCGGTTAATTTATTCAGTCCCTACTTAAGAGTCCTTCTGTCTCAAGTTATTACGTAATTACACTAAACAATCTAATTTAATATAATATGTAACTTGTGAGATACATTGTGTTTTCATGCGATGGCCAAGACAATCTATGTATTTAAAACATAAAAGATTTTTAATATTGGTATGGTCACTATCAGATGTGTTAGGTTAGCTAATTACGTAATAACTTGAGACAGAAGGACCCTTAAGTAGGTTCTGAATAAATTAACCGACTTGGTATTACATGGATCTCACAACTTTTTACGATAGAAGAACTGAGTTGCGAGACTTGGTTTTTTTACAAGTTATGTTTTGACTGCATTTTTTATATTTACACAAACACTACACATTGAATAAAACTACTTTTAAGGAGTGTATCGCGTTTAATTGTTCTTATTTTTAATTCCCTGCGTTTCGGATGCTTTCTAGCACCCATGGTTACGGGGAACTGAGACGATTGACATCCCGATATCAGAGTAAACTCGGAGTACCTTCAGCTTTTTAATTATTACTTTTGGTCCGATCTACGCAGAATGACCTTACTTTGTCTTGAAGTCTTGAAAGTCGTATTGCTTGTCTATATATATATAAACGAGCACGTAAGTGGTGCACATACAGTAAGTATGTATATATAGGATGATATAGGATATGCATATATAGGATACTGCGGTTTATAGACACGTAAATCCAGCATTGTTTCAAAATGAAAATATAGATGTATTTCCACCCCCGAGGACTAAAATGGATTACCACTTGATCGGCAAAAATAGTCGAAACAGAACACGAAACAGCAGCTTTATGCTGTGATTTCACGCAATTCTTCTGTAAGAGCGTGATCCTTTCCCGGTCGAGCCGACCCATTCCTGCGAATAGCTCTACCACATCATTATAACCCATTATAAGACAATTTCATTTTATTAATATTGCAATGACATTCATAGAATAATTTAATTTAAAAACTTCGTAAATTAGGGCAAAGTAATAAAATATATAATGTAGGTATAACGAGAGACAGGCATGCGTGAAACCAGAGGGTGAGCAGGCTGTGCTGGCGTCAACTGTCTGCCGCCCGAGGATGTCACAGCGGTAATTAAACATTCCTCAACCCCTCTTGATATTAACCCGTTTGAAAATTCTAACAATGTTGCGTACTAGGCGCTTTCTATGAAAATGTTATGCAGTAAACAACGCATAATCGCTCGCGCAACAGCTGTTTAAAAGGCTTTCATAGTTAACATTAAATTCCGTTGTAGATTACGTTGTATGTTATTATTATTAATTCAACACTTTTTAGTTTATAAATTGTTTATTTTCATCTTGTTCACTTAAGTTATTCGTACTAAGTACTGAGGCACTTGGCGTGCTATGAATACGTGAATGCTAAGTAGAGGCTCATTTTTCATCGTGACAGAACTGTCTTATTAATAGGACTTAAGAACTTCTACTTTCAAGCATCGTTTATTCTATCCGCGTCCCTTTTGTTTCCCTAAGCCGACAGCCATTTTTCATTAAAATTATTACAAAGAAGCCAAAAAAAGAATTGTACATTTAATTATCTATTTGGAAAACTAAAAGACAATCCATCCAGGCCATAAAAATAACTTTACTACTTAAACAAAGATTTACAAGCAC